CACACACACACACACACACACACACACTGCCAGGGCTGCCACGCACGTAGCTGTCTTGTCAGCTTGGGGCAGTTTGGGGGTCAGGGTTTTGCTCAAGGACACTTCTATATGTGGACAGGAGGAGCCAGGAATTGAACAGTGAATGATTGGTGGACAACCCTCCCCTGAGCCACAGCTGCCATAAGAGACTGAAGTCTGTATTTATTTCACACCAGAGATATAGTAGAATAATCAAAGACTCTTTTCTTATAAGAAAACCTAAACCAAATATTTAACATTTCTGTACCAGCTCTTCTGGAGTCCTATAGGGGACACATTCCTTCATGGTTGATGAACTTCCCTTGAAATCGTATAGCAACGTTATTATCTCTGCCAAGGTTATGTTTTTGCATGCATGTGTTTCTTAGTTTGCAGGATTACACAAAAACTACTGGACAGATTAATACAAAACTTAGTGGGATGATGCAGTATAGCTCTGGGATTTACATGTTAAATTAACGTGTGGATCATTAAATAAACTCCTCATGGAAATCTCCTTGTCGTCAAAAATGAAATTGAAGTACGAACAACAGCGATCGGCTCAGACGGTGGTCTCAGGTTCAGCACCTTGGACAGCAGCCGTGACTCTGTGCAGAATGATCCACCTGAGCTGAAGAAGCAGGACGTTACTACTGATCCAGGTTCAGTCAGAGTAACAAACATTTACACATCAGGCTTTTTTAAATCTTCTCAAAACATACATTTGAAGTACTTCTGTGAGGTTTTTGACATGTGCAGGTTTTAATCATTACTTACTTTTCTAACTTATCCTGTCCTATACTGTCCCCAAGTCCTGTTAGCACTGACTCTTTCTTTCTTCTTTTGACAAATAACCTTGGCTTCCAAATCCCATTTCACGTTGCTGCTTCATCTCATTTATTGGTCCGGATTCCAGTGACCAGTACAAAAGCTTTATAATCACTCACTATATTTTCACCCATGCTGCATAGAGCAAAGATGGCTGCCGGTGGTGAATGTGCATTATGGGTCTGCCGCCTCTGCTAATTATCTTGGAAGCCTTAAATCTACTCTGTTCTATTCTTTGAAGCTAAAGCAGATTGAGGTATAAGACATGTACAGTGAAAAGATGACCTTCAGACAGGTTGTGTGAGATTGATTTTTAAATTCACTTAATTTTATGAAGACTTTATGTTTTGCTGAAGGACTAAACTCTTGACGGTTTCAAGGTCTGGATGAATTATTCATTGGAGCCGAGTAAACAACTTGAAGGTACGGAGCCTGAGATTTGTCTGAATCAAGGAGGACACGTTTAAGTTGTATCACACCCATGAATCTGTGGTCTGTAATCTGACCCTTTTGCAATTAATAGGCTCTGCAGTGAATATGAAAATCAATGCGTAGAGAAAACATGGCAGGTTTGTTACTTTACCAATGAAGGACATGAGGCTTTATTGTATTTATAATCAGCAGTCTGGGTAATGTCCATACGTTTGTGCTCTGGCGAGAAGAAAACGCGGTCTCTTCATTTTTGGAGAAGGTGCTGTTACTTGCATCATAAGGTGTGGTTGTTCTAGCAGCACACGTCAGAGTTCTAAGCTTTTTGATTGGATGTTTCTTACTGAAATAGCCCCTCCCACATTAGGCCTTCATACGTCATTCTGATTCATCTCGGAGCCTGATTTTAATTCTGCATATCATTGCGTATAGTTCCTACTCCATCATTAAAGCCTGAGAAAGCTTTTAAAGCTGAAGGACATTTATTTATCATTGTTTTTATTATTCATCTCAATAAACTGTTAATTGAAGGTCAAGTAGAGGATGAAAATAGTTTTTATGGGAACTAGTGTTGATGTGTTACAGTGGGACATGGTCTATAAAATGAACTGTGTGTCAGCTGCAGCTGTCATGTTGAGTTTCCTTCTTTAGAAAAGTGTGGACCTGATTAAAAAGGCACATGTGAGCACGCACACACTGGAGTCGCTCGTTCTCGTCTTTCCTCCCCCTCCTCCCCTCACTCTGACACACAGTGAAGCACAAACCGCTCTCTCCGGTGACGTGTTCCACCGCTGCACAGACCGTTTCCTCTGTGGAGTCTCTGGTCGGGCTTGGTTGATGGCCATGTTTGATTGTGTGTTTGTGGTGTTCCGCAGCTCCACAGCGTCCTGTTCAAAGCCTGCATCTGTCACTACACTAAATTGATTAAATTAATTGTTTTCTGCAGAGGGGTGGTGCTCAAGTGGCTGTCTCCTGGAGTTGAATATCAATCAATTCATCCTGATGTCAGCTTCTTTTATCGACCTCTCCTTCTCTCTTCTGTTGCCTGTAGCTGCGGCTGGATGTTCTCGTTTGCTTCAGGTGTCATCACATAACTCCACTTCCTGTCGTTTCAAATTAAAAATACTCTGCAGAGTCGAGTTACTTAGACTTCTTGTCATCGCACGGCGATGATGAAACACTGAAGTTAAAACTGTACGTGAAATAAAACACCTGCGGATACTTGACAGTGATAACATCATACCCAGGATTGTTAATTTATGTTTAGTCATGAATCATTAACTTGGTTGACCTGTTTCATATTTATTCTCTTTCATCCAAAGAGTCGTAAACTTCCTTGTGTGAGACTGAATCATTAATTCCAGGGGCATTGATCCTTCACCTTGATCATTCACTCCGATCTCCCTCTGGAGGGGAGCAGGTGAAAAGAGTTTCCCCTCAGGGATCCATGAAGTATCGTTTAGTCTTAGTACTTTAGATGTTACCTCCTCTGAGCTCAGTTTCCTCCCAGATCACAGATAAACTGGCCTGTGGTTTTGTGAGTAAACAAACATGTTAGATTCTCTCTTGAAAACTTTAAAAACCAATTATGATGCTCTAATTTTAATAACTTGAGTTATCTGGTTGTGGTTTATGGACTCGCAGGGACCTGATGAACAGATTAATTATAATCATATTTAATGTGAGTGTGGCGGTTCAACAGAGGATAAAGGGACGGCAGGACCTGACCTCAGCTGTTCCAGATGGAGCGCTTGGTTGGGAGGAGGGAGCCATAACAGGCCGCAGGCTATTTAGAAAAGAGTCGCCTGCCCCCACACGACGAGGAGCACACAGTCAGTTCATGCCGAGAGAATGTACTTGTCTGGTTTTCCAGCTGTTTACTTTTAACGCTCCCCATTAACAACTGGCTTCACCGTACATGGAAATGTGCTGCCATTAACTATGAAATGATTTTGATTATGTGGCATAGACGGAAGAATAAGAGGAGGAAGAACCCAGACAAGGTCATTAGTGGTGTAGAGGTTTGTCGGGAACCAGAGGCTTCAGTGTTGGTGGCATAGTGTCACTGTTGTCATGTAAATAAGTTGTCAAGTGGATCTTTACAGGGACGAGGAAGCTGTTTGTCTGATGTCGAAGTGAATCTGATGTGATCAACATTCCACTAGATGAAATCAACAAGTTTATCTCTGGAGCCTGAATCACGACAGAATCACCAGATCAACAACCACAAGAAATGTTTTTATCGTGGGTGCAACAAATTACTTTATTACTTTTTCATTAGTCATTTAATCTACTAAGGTTAAACATATGTTTATAAACCTCTGAGAGCAAAGAGTTTCCCATTTTTCTCAAACTGCATCCATGAAAGGTTAATGGAGATGCTGCTGTAGCATCACTTGTTCTTCATCCAAGAGCTGGTTCATCATGGTTGTTAAAGACACAGAAGCTAAAAGCAAGTGTTTCAGACAGTGGCTGAAAAGAGGAGCTGCAGCGATGGACAGTCTGAGGAAAGTGATGTGATTTCTGAACATTAGAGCATTTAAACCTTTTTAAGATACAAAAACTGATGAACCTGGATATGAACATTAAAAATATGTCTCATTTAAAATCCAGAGAAGTTGAGTTTTCTCTTAATATCATCAGTTTACTTTCTTCACCTCCAGATGTGCAGTTTTGTGAACTGCAGCCACAGGAACTGCTGATCTTCCTACTGCATTGCAGTGGGGACTTTGTGCACTGATTTTTTTTTTTACTGCAGTAAAACCTTAGATTTTGTTTGATTCTCAAATGTTACAATACTCGTGCAAACCTTTGACTGTCACCCAGTGAGCGCTGTGGCTCTCATGCTGCGGCTGGAAGAAAAGATGAGAAGGGCAACTGCAACTTTCACCAGGTTGCCAGTTCAACTGTCTCTTGCTCTGTATCTTTGTTGGATCAGCTTGAGGAAACAGCATGAAGCTGCAGTTTGGTGATGTAAGAGTTTTCCATCCTTGATATTTCTGTTTATCACTTTCAAGCATCGTAGTATTCGACACGAAGTGGATGAGGTAGTTGAGTGGATATTAAAATTTAAGGTTCAGCCCAAACCTGTGAAGTAAATGCAGGTTTTAAGGTCCTGCTGTCCTGTTGTACAGGAATAAGGTGTTAACAGTCTCCTCTGATGTTGGGAGTGTTGCTGGTATCTCACTCTGGACACCGTGGTTTTATTTTAGTCCCAGCGCTGACAGCAAACCCTCTGCATGGTCTGATTTGATTTCTTCAAAGAGCAAACTGAGACGTCTTCGTTGTTGTCATCCATCCTGAACCCTTCACTTTTTTCTGCCTTTTGCTCTCATAAGCTCTTCCCCCTTTTCTCTTCCTCTCAGTCCCTCCCCTGCTTTGTTTTGAGTTTTTCTGAGGAAGTCTCAGTGAGGTCTTGTCAGATGCTGAAAAAGAGTAATCATGGCTTATGACACTAATCTGTTTCTGTGTCCCCTCTCGTCTCGTTTCTCTCTCAGGTGAAGGAACGTGCAGACAGGCTGTCTCACCCTAAGCTATGGAATGCTCCCTGCACCCACCATCACTAGTCTCCAATCTTTGGACTGAGCTCCAAACGCTTAGTTAGCGGCTGTGCTTCTCCCCTCAAACTCTTTACAACCAGGGGACGAAGAATAGGAGCGGGCTTTCCAAGTCCTCCGCTGAAACGCACAGAGCACTTTCTTTTTTAGAATATCTTAACTCTATTTTTGCTTTTCTCCGCTTGGATTTTTTCCCCCTGAAATCATATCAAGATGGAAATGGATTCATACTTGTGGATGGTGATCGTCGGCTTCATCATTGCCTTCGTCCTGGCCTTTTCAGTGGGCGCCAATGATGTGGCCAATTCATTCGGCACGGCAGTGGGGTCCGGTGTGGTCACGCTCAAGCAAGCCTGCATCCTGGCATCCATCTTTGAGACACTGGGCTCGATGCTGCTGGGGGCGAAGGTGGGCGAGACGATTCGGAAGGGCATTATAGATGTCAACCTGTACAACGAGACGGTGCCTGTGCTCATGGCAGGGGAGGTCAGCGCCATGGTCGGTAAGTTTCTTATACATCCAGTGAGTTTTCTCTAATGTCAGAGGCTGCGTTCAAACACTGACCTGCACAGAAGTCTAACATTTCGGAATAAAAACGGGATTGGAGTCGCAGCAGCAGTCGTATGACTTTTCTGTAAAATGTCTTTTCATATCTGAAAGAAGCTGTAAGGATCCTTAAATTGACTAAAGGATAAAAGGTATTAAATTGAAAGATATAAGAAGTCAGACAAGTTTCACATTCAATGTCAGAATAAGGGAATCACAGCTGATCTTGGCTGCATCGTCCAGAGAAAGTGACTGAATAATACAACATGTGAAATGGTTGGTGATCAGTGGATCAGTCAATGGGTAAATAAACAATTATCAGTCATTTTGTAAACAAGTCGACTTTATATAATTAAAAAAGTTTCACACCAGCTCTTAGATGCTGCATTTCTCTGTTTTATAAAGTGAAGATCTTTGTGTTTTGAAGAAAATGAGACACTGAACAATGCTACAATGCTACATGCTATACACTAAACAAATGAGTGTATGGTAAACTGACAGAGTAATCTGATAATGAAAATAATTGTTAGTTGAAGCCCTGAAAATAAAATAAAGAAACCTCACCACTGTGGGTTTGCAGGGGGACATGACATCGTCAGGATTGTGTGCTGCCGTTGCTGAATAAATAAGTGATATGAGTTCATGTGCTGACCCTCAATAGAATCAGGATGATACTTCAACTAATCCTCACTGAACCATATGCTCCACGAAGAAGTAAGAAAATAGTGAAGATTACCATCACGGTTTCCCGCAGTTTCTTCCACATCTCAAAACCAGCGAATATTTAAATTCATACTGATATAAAAAGGAAAAAGAGAGATTCTTAGTATTTGAAAGGCTGGAAAACAAAATTTCCCTTCTACCTGATAAATGACTTGAAAAACCTCTAATGCAGATTACTGTATATATTTAAATGCATTTAACATTTATTATCTGCTCTACACATTTGACAGGAAAAAAGTTATTTTCACATTCAGCCCTGAGATGGTGTTTGCAGCTGTGATCAGAGTCCATGCTGCTGTAACTCTGCAGGACTGTGTGTCCATAGGTTTGGTAAACAGAGAGGAGACATCACTCAGATTATGTAAAGCTGCTGGAAATATTCATCTGACCTGTGCGTGGGTCCATCTGTATTTTTTCATTTGCTCATAGACTATTGAATTTTGTTCTCCAGCCAACAAAAGTACATAAAAACATCCACTTTTTAACTTGATATATGAGAAATGGTATAAAATGAATTTGCAGGGTTAAAAATTGTTTAAATCTATTTGCATCAACTTAATTAAATAAGATTTTAATAACGTAGCAGCATTTCCTGAGTCCAGCACCTTCAAATTAAAACACATTTACAGAGAAGCACAAGCAGCGCTTGTTGAGAATCAGTAGTAGCTTTACACATGAGCTTTAAATTACATCAGTAAATGAATGAACAAAAAAACAATGGCGCCCCTGTTGAGACAAAGCCATGTTAATGGCAGAGACTGCTGGGAAACAGCGATGAATAAGGGGATATTATGCACGGGGGGGAATCCCGCGTCGCTGAAGGGTCACGTGCCGCCGGTGAATGTCGGGGAAACACTGAACAGTTTATCTTGATCCCAAACAGGATTTTATTTTCAGAACCTGTTGGAAGAAATAAAAGTTTATCAAACACAATAGAAAACAATACTATCAGTGTGAAATTGAGACTTATTGTTGAAATAATGGACCCTGTTCACAAAGAATATCCATAAACACAAGCTTGTGTTCACAGACCCGATGGATTTTCCTTTGGATAAATACACAGAACCATAAATCTGTTGTTATCACCTGTCTGAGATTCTTAGTCCTTCGTGGTAAATTTCTTGCATTTACTGCATCTCATTTGGCAAAACTAGATTCAAGTAAAAATTGTTTGTCAGTTCCATAATACAGGCTACAGCATGGCAGCCAAATGATAGAAAGAAACAATATAAATACATATTAAACATGAAAACAAACAACTCGTCGACTGAAAAGTGTCTGTTTTTACAAAGTTAAATGTCTCGCTCTCTTGTCTTTTTGTTTTAACTCTTTGATTTAGTGAGGTGAAGCACAAACACAATCAAACCACTACTTAACATAACTGAGCACAGAAACGAGTCAGCGATTCACGTGGTATTGTTTTCTCTTTGACAGCTTGAACCTCCTTTAACCCAATGAATCAGAAAAGTGTGTGAGATCAGTGTGTGTCCGTGTTTTGATCTCAGGGTCAGCGGTCTGGCAGCTAATCGCCTCCTTCCTCAAACTGCCCATCTCTGGGACTCACTGCATTGTTGGCGCCACCATCGGCTTCTCCATGGTGGCCATCGGCACCAAGGGCGTGCAGTGGATGCAGCTCGTCAAGATCGGTAACGGTTGCGGGTTGTTTACGACCAGTTTGTGTATTTATACTCTTTATATCCTTGTTTCGACTCATTTAAATCCATGGCGTACACACACAGTGCACTGTTTGTACATAACATTACTATTACTGGTGTAGCTGCCACTTTCCCATTGAAACCAGACTGAATAACAACACACTGAGGTATTTCCACCACAGCTACAGATTAGTTTGATGACAGAAACGTTTCTAACTCAGAAGCATAAACAGTCATCATCAGAGATTTTTTAAGGATGACTCCCCCAGAGCATTTTACAACCCACATGATCATTTTAAAAAGAGGCAGAGATTACAATTTCTCCCCCGTTAGGAGGCTCAATAGACCAGCATGCAATGCAGCTGGAAAACACATCAAAAAGTACCTGCAAAGTAGAAGAGGAAGCCGTCACTTCCTCTCAGGCTTAGAGAGTTACTCATGATATCCCCACTTTCACAGCTGAATCTAAAACTCTATACGAGGAATTTAAACTTTGAAATGCATTGTGGGAAGTTAGGGAAACTACTGATTGACACGATTAAAGTACAGAAGATGAAGCATCCTGCAAAAATTGGTAATGAATGAATCATAATGAATAATAGTAACTGGATGACTGAAATGATTTTTGTTGTGTATTCTCTCCTCTCCCCTTCAGTGTCGTCTTGGTTTATCTCCCCCCTGCTCTCTGGACTCATGTCTGGAGTCCTCTTCTTGCTCATCAGACACTTCATCCTCAACAAGGTTGGCCCCCCCCTCACTGTGCAGTATCACTCACTCACCAGCTCACAACTCTTTCAGGCTTTAAACTCTGAGCACTGAGATACTGATTTCCTGCAAATACAGTAGAGTTGTTTGTCCTCTGGTTTAAATAGCAGAATTAAAACACAGACATACATGTGTACACACAAGCTCGTCCAAAGAACTCAGCACAGATAATATTCTGTGGGTTTCGCAATACCTGCAGATCTGTCATTACATAACCGTCGACTTCAATGGAGGAGGAAGAGAAAACTATTGAGGATCATCCTGAGGTCACGACTGCAGGTTTATGTTTGAGTGACTCACAGGCCCGGTTGTTATTTAGACTGCAGCCGGTGCTTCCCTACATCAAACTCACCATGAGTTCATCTCTGTCTCCGCAGGTTATCTACATCAGATAAGTCAGAACACAACTTGATCTTGGTAGTGTTGCATCAAGCTCCTTGTCATAGTAGAACCACACATTGTGTAAGAAGTGGTTATATTATGTGGGTTTGATTTCCACATGTGAACTGACCTGAATTTAACTTCTACCCTCACGATGTTTTATCTTTACACTGGTTCCACAAGTATTACTGTGTGGGAAACGTTTGCAGGGAAACTTTAGAAACCAAAATAAAGTAGTTAAGTAATATAAGACAGAGCAATAATAATAGTAATACAATAAATTTAGAGTCATAGAATACAACGTGTATTTAGAAAATAAATACACAATTGTAAGAAAACTCATTAGAAACATAGTAAGAACAGATTATTTGTTGTTTTGATTTCACTATTTATTCTGAGGGTAAAATCTATTTCTTAGTCTGGTTGTGTTGTGTTTAAATTGTGTTTTTATTAGTAATCTGTATGTGTGTTTATATATTCCTGTTGGTATGAGGCATATTTTTAGCTCCTTTATCGTCACATCAGCATTAAAAATCCATTTGTGTGTTTTCCCTGCAGGACGACTCCGTCCCTAACGGCCTGCGAGCGCTGCCTCTCTTCTACGCCACAACCATTGGGATCAACACGTTTTCCATCATGTATACTGGAGCGCCGTGTAAGTGGCGGGCGGTAGTTGCTCCTAAGAGACATTACTCTGACACCAATGTATGATCGAATTATCATCTCGGTCTCACTGAAATTGCCAATATCGTTGGCTCGCACAAAATTCCTTCCGAGGGTGTGACGAGAGTATAAGTAGATTTTTAACATTTCAAAACCACATGCCAGATATGTTGTGTGTATAAGTTATGTGTGTATGTGTGTGTTCATTGATTACAGTGCTCGGGTTGGAGATGCTGCCGGTGTGGGCCATCTTTCTCATAACTTTAGCCGGGTCGCTGGTGTGTGCAATTCTCGTCTGGACAATTGTTTGTCCTTGGATGAGGAGGAAAATAGCAAGTAGGTATCTGTGTGTGTCTGTGTGTGTGTGTGTGTGCCCAGTCTTTCTCACGCTATCTGAAAGCACAGCACCCTGACCCAGGACGAACAACAGAGCTTCAGCCTCTGCTTGCACACTCTGTGCTCTGACACCAAACATCGGATGCCAACGGATGTGTTTTCTCTTTGGCCTTTGCCAAAGCCACTAAAGCCACCAAGAAAACCCTGTGAACTCCAGCTGCTCTGCTGAGACACTTTAATTTTTTTTTGTGGCATGTTGCTCCTTGACCGGATCCAAGGGGTTGAGATGATAGCCTGTGGTGGGGAAAGCTCTCAGATCAAGGTTAGGAATCTCTTCTGTAATGGGAACATGAGCCGGCAGCAAAGCAGACGATGCTTTAAAGCACATGACACATTAAGTTAAACAGTGGAAAGAGCAGTAGGTGGAATATCTGAGAGAATGGAGGACATGAGCAAGGCAGCCGCTCTGTCTCGCAGGATAAATAAGAACAAGAAGACTTTTCCTGAGATGCTTTACACAAATATGAAAATAAAAGTCTGGGTTAAATTAGAGTTTTTACTTAAGCAAAATAAGAAGTGCTGTTAGTGAAGTGATAATATCCATGTTGAGGCTTAAAATAGATTTTTTTTCTGAGGCGCTCCTTCACACGACTGATGCCGACCTGAGCTGTTGCTTAATGTGTCGTGACCACTGAATGTCTGTGAGGATTATAAGTAACATTAGCGCTCCTGAACTGCTTCCATCAAAATGAGCCGGCCGATGACTGGAGTTTGTTAGTGGGTTTGTGCTGACGGCTGTTTAGAGGAGTCGGGGGCATGGAGTCGGTCGGCGCTGAGATTAGTTTGGATCAGCTGATGTTTACATACTTGTTTTTGTGGAATGCTGCTGCAGAGTTTTCTGAAATTCTTGGTGTTAGTTCACAGAAACAGCAAAGTTTCAAAACAGACATGCAAGAAAATGATTCTATTGATTTTATTTTTAAATATTTGTCCTTCAGTTATTAACTCACATAATTAAAATTTGACAGTTTGTAAATTATCCCTCAGACATTTTAGAACATGATAAAAGGCTCTTTAAACACCATAAGCATTGTATAGTGGATTTAATTTTGTTTTCTGGATATGTTCTCCTCACTAAACCCCCTAACCTCTGATCTCCTCCAGGTCGTCTAAAGAAGGAGCAGGCTCTGTCCAGGATTTCAGACGAGAGCCTGGACAAGATACCTGAGGAGGAGGAGGAGAGTCCCGTCTTCAAAGAGCTGCCAGGAGCCAAGGGAACAGATGAGGCCGTGTTGCCGCTCACTGGTGGCAGCAGTGATCGAGGGACCCGCAACTCCAGTGGAGAGCTCACCAACCTGGCTAATGGAGGCACCGTCCTGCCAAATGGCAGGGTGTACGGTAGAGCTGACGTTTTTTTTACTAACTTGAGATGAAAATGTATGAACAAGACATTTTAAAATCTGTTCAAATGAAGAATCCATTTAGTGTAGTTTCTGGTGTGTTTTCTTTTTATATGCTATCTATTACTCTGGAAATATCAGTTAAAATATGCCTGATTAGTTTTTTTCCATCAAGATCTCTGAATTAGTTAAAAACATGGACAAAAACATCCTTGTTGGAAGTTATAATGGAAAAACATGCAAAACACAACATTTAACAACAAAATATAATTTTTTGCACTCATGACAAAAATATCAGCCATTAGTTGGTAATAAAGATTGAATCTCTATTTCAGTACTAAGTAGGATCCTTAATTTTCCAGACCAGTGTGCACATCCGTCTTCCATCACTTAACATTTCTGAAGAGCCCATATCAAATGTACCAAAGCCACTTACATTCATCAGACCATTAACTGAAATTCATGTTATTTAGAAATCCATTTTCTCTGTTGGAACAAGAAATGTAACCTCTTCTTCTTCTTCATGCATCAAATAAAAAAATGTGAGACGACTTCTTAAGGAGCAGCTTGTAAATTCGATAAAAGTACTGCACTGTGTTGCTATTGGATACTAGCTTTGGTTATCCTAAAACACTGTCTTCCATATCATCCCCCCAGGTCGGACCCACTCGATGACCAACGGTTGCCTCAAGTCACCCATCTCTAACGGCAGCTTCAGCTTCGATGGCCACATGCGCAGCGACGGCCAGGTTTACCACACAGTGCACAAGGACTCTGGTCTCTACAAAGACCTGCTTCACAAAATCCACCTGGGCCGCATGGACGACAACGAGCGCTCAGGCTCCAACGCCGGGCCGCCCGACAACAATTACCGCCTGCTGCGCCGCAACAACAGCTACACCTGCTACACAGCGGCAATATGCGGCATGCCCGTCCAGCCGCTCATACGCACAGAGTCGCGTGACGACAGTGAAAAGCTGGTAGGTGAGGGGGGCGGCAGGAGCAACAGCGTGTCCTACTCCAAGAAGAGGATACGCTACGATAGCTACTCGTCGTACTGCAACGCCGTAGCCGAGGCTGAGATCGAGGCGGAGGAGGGCGGGGTGGAGATGAAGCTGGCCACGGAGCTGGAGGGGGTGGAGGAGGAAGGGGCCCCAACTCCGATGCCTCTGGACGACTTGGCCGAGGAGGATCATGAAGAGAAGGACAAACCCGAGGTGTTCCAGCTTTTCCACTTCCTGCAGATTCTCACCGCCTGCTTCGGATCCTTTGCACACGGAGGCAACGATGTCAGGTGCTGCCCCCTGCTGCTTACATGGCAGATAGCATTGTATAATGTATATTTCAGTAATACCTGCTGAAGCTTGTTTCCATAAAATACATCTGAGTAATTTCCAGTGAAAACAGAGAAATCAGCTTTGCTGCTCTGCTTTAACGTCATTAACATCTATTTTCTCACGTTGCAGTAATGCCATCGGGCCTCTGGTGGCGCTGTGGATGATCTATGACCAGGGCGGCGTGATGCAAGACGCTGCCACTCCCATCTGGCTGCTGTTTTACGGGGGCATCGGCATCTGCGCCGGGCTGTGGGTGTGGGGCCGCCGCGTCATCCAGACAATGGGGAAAGACTTGACTCCCATCACCCCCTCAAGGTGAGAACGCCACCATGTGGGGGAGCGGGTTCGAAGGGTGTGGGTTTGTGTGTGTGTGTGGGTGTGTTGGAAAGAGTATGTGGCAAAGGTGAACTTTCCAACATGTTCAGTTTCACTCGCTCCAAAGAGTCCTGACATGCTGACACACACGAGTCCGTCCAGGGCTGCAGCTTCCTGGGTAAGTACTTGCGTGCACCCAGCCGTGTTCGAATGCACACACACACTTTATATAAGGCTGTTAAACGTTATTGAACGAGCAGTTGCCATTCAGCGCACACTCAGACGTTCCCTTTATGCTCACAGTAAAGTGCATAAATCTAAGGCAGCACGATAAACGTTGGAGTGACAGCTCTGTTGCCTGGGGTGCTTTGTATTCACAGGTACAGTGAACTTGTCTGACTAATCAAGGACATTTGTCTGGAGTTTCACTTCTTTCTACTTCCCAAAGACAGCTGCAGCTGCTGCTGCTGCATTTTTACCACATCAACAACCTGCAAGTACAATCATGTATTTGCATTTTATTCTATGTTGGTTGTGTCTGCAGAGAAATATAAGAGAAGTCTAATTATGTAAATATTTCAATAGATTCATGGAATTATTTTTTTGTATGCTTTTAAAAGAAATGAAATGAAACCTTATTTTTTTCTTTTTTCATTAATAAATAATCAAATCATCAATACACCACTCGTGTGAACTTTAAACTGCTTTTGAACACGTTCAGGAATCTATTTAAGTAGCGGAGCTGTCGTGCCTCTTCGCTTTGGCACTGAAATAGAAATAGTACACACTCTTTTTTCCTCATGCCCTTTGACTTATTACATAACAATCATGAATAAATTAGTATTCTGGTTTGGACCATAACACTTACAGCCCCAGGGCTCAATTCATCCCACGACCTGGGCAATGAACATCACGCATCCTTAACCACTTACGGCCTCTCCTCCATCCTTGTAATCAATATCTTTATCACTCTCTCACTCACACTGTCCTCTCGTCTTCCCACGCAGTAGCTGAAGTGTGTGTGTGTGCATGTGTGTATGTGCGTGCACCTCAGGGAAGCTGATGTCAGGACCAGTAGAGCTCATTAGGACCAAAGTCTGGTCCTAATGAAGGGAAAACGTAATTTCTGAGGTTCTGGTTAAGGTTAAGGATGAAGTGTTGGTTATTCGGTCCACGACGAATGAGAGTCAGTCCCAGTCATACTTGCACAGTGAGAATCCTGGCCTCTCGTCTCCGACCACAAGCTGTAACACCAGCCTGCACTTTTCTGTTCCCGTCTGCTCTCCTGCTTTTTTTTTATATATATTCCTTCCTATTCTCTCCTGTAAATCTCTATTTTTGTGGTTAACCCTCCTCTGTTTCATTCTTTCCTCCTTTTCTCTCCACTACATCTTTTTGTCTGGTTTTTTTTATGGGCGTCTCACCTCTAAATCTTTCCTTACTTACTCTATTACCTTTTCCCTCTTTTTTCATTTCTCCTCTTTTTTTTGTCCCTCCTCCTCTTTTCATTCTTAATTTATCTCTTTCTAACACCAGCTTAGTTTTTTTTTTTGCCAGGACTCAAAGACAAATTGGTTCTGCTTCACTGTTCTAAAGGCTCCTCTGGTGTTTGTTTCAATGCAACACGCTGACAAAGAAGTGTGTGTGTGTGTGTGTGTGTGTGTGTGTGTGTGTGTGTGTGTGTGTAAAATGGTGAATGGGTTGCATTTGTGTAGTGCTTTTACATCACAGTCACCCATTCACACAGCACTTGCTATAACTAGAGCACCACCAACCTTTTGATTTGAGGACGACCTGGTAGCGCTGAGTGATGCAGCTAAAATTGATATCAAGCAAAAATTTTCATATCATTCGATAACTGTCACGATAAATTTCACATTATATTTATTTCAAGTTTAAATAGGTGTGGTGTGTATGTTGCTGAATGTATACACATAATATTGTGAGTATATTGGGCTTAAGTTAAAGTATTATTGCTATTTATATATTGATAGTGATTGATAGTGTTTTGTTGTCCAGCTCTATGACTCGCTCCACCTCCTGAGCCACAAACGCCCATGTATGGATTTTCTTCATTCTTCTTGCATCATTCTGCCAAAAACAATAGAAAATTATATTTTGCTATAAAGCATCCAGCACAGATAGATGGAGAGGCTCAGTGTCATTTATTCCAAACTGGGAAATTCCAGGCGCATAACACACAAAATCTACAAATATATGAAAAGTAAATAAAAGATGAAATAAAGATAAAAAATAATCCAATCACTGACTAGAAGTTGATTGAAGAGAGAAATGGAGGATGAGCTCCCACACACCTCTACACACACCTATAATCTAGAACAAGTCAAATCAGGAGAACTTCACTGTGGAAAGAAATTGTCCCTTGCTGCTGGCGAGCGCCTCATTGGTGACTAGAGTGACACGTTGCTGATTATCTCACTTTGGCCGATCAAACCTCAGCGGTGTCTGTTCCCAGGACCTCTCCTGACTGGTTTGGCCGCTATTATTTATTTGCTGTGTAACTGCAAAGAAGGAAGTGCTCACTCAAGAATCACTTTCCCTTTTTTCAGTTTTCTCATTCTTCTGGTTTCTCTTCATTTATCTGTATCTTGGAGACTTTTTTTTTGTAGGGGGTGATTTTCTCTTCCTCAGCGCCCACTGGTCTGTGTGAGAATAATGTTCTGCAAAGGGGACAAAGTGTCTCCAAGTCAGGACGTGGCAAAACACGCATAACACATTGTCTGTGAACCAAATCTTAATGAAATCCTGGTGTGTGTGTGTGTGTGTGTCAGTGTGTGATGTTTTATCCAGTGTGTGTGTTTGTAAGTATAATATCTGTTTAATCCTGCTGCTGTGGTGATGTGGCTGCTGCAGTGTGGTGACACCGTGCCGTCAGCAGCACGTCCCTGACATTACAATGAAGGATGTTTCTTTGCCTCCCCCCCTCTCCCCTCCCTCCTCCACAGTGGATTCACTATTGAACTGGCTTCTGCACTCACAGTCGTGTTCGCTTCCAATATCGGAATCCCTGTCAGTACCACACACTGCAAGGTATGACTGAGTGGACGTCCGAGCCGGTCTCTCACTTCCCTCTACAGGCGTCTCCAGGGGACAGGGCGCTCACACTGCCTCCCAGGGCTGCAGGGCTGAAACCACACACAACCAGTTCAATTAAGAAAATAAAGAAATCAGGTTTTCAGTCAGATTATGGCTGTGGATTATTTATACTCACATTATTATATTATTGTGGGAGAAAGAAACGTTTTGGTCATAATTTCTGTCAGTTATGACATTGGACTAATTTAAGTAAATACTGAGATCTGGAAACATGGTGACATTTCTGCATCAAACCCACACGTTTTGAAAATGTCTATAAATGGTGTCATTGGACTGTTAAATCCACTGTTAAAGGTGCCTGGAGTTACCTTTAGTGTTTTACTGTGTGCTTGAAAACCATAAAACCTTACAAGCAGTAGAGAAAGGCTTTGTTTTGGCCCCAGGTTTTACTTCTCAGACAACATACATCTTGGATGGAGATGGTTGGGGCTGTATACATTACGATTTCCCAATATATATAAAAAAATCTACCATTATCTATATGGTATCAGGTGATTATCAAAGAAAGAAACTAAACAGAATTGAGATTAGTGCATTAATGATAATTATATATTAATAATAGATTTTATTTGTAAAGTGTTTTAGCAAAGATCAAAAAAAACAAATGACAATGAACATACACGTCATAATCAGACATTAAAATCATGAACTGTGGAGAAATGTATTTGTTTGAAGAACGTCTCACTTCACTCTGCGGTGTCACTGTGTTTCCGGACCTTGGCAGATATCTTGTTTAGAACAGCAGCATTAGTCCAGGTAACATTATTTTAAGACCATAAATGTCTTCAACCAAACTTGTCCTTTAATTTCCTGCATCTGACAATCAAACCAACTCTCATCAGTCTCCCGGCATTGAAACAATCAAAACAGTGTCCCGCCCGCCTCCCCCCCGGCAGCAGTGTGCAGCCCCTCTCCCCTGATTCTTTACAGGAACATCAGCATCCAGGCTGGAAGACGTAGCGGGACCCCTCCAGCCCCCGACCCTGCCCCCCCCTCCACATCAACATGGTGTCTCATCCTCTGTTTCATTTCCACCAACTCTCTTCCATTTTGCCCCTCTCACCACTGGCATGGTTTGGTATGTGGGTCCTCCACCCTCCTGTCCTCGCCTGCAAGCAGACCCCCCCCAAACCCACCACCCACCTCCTCCCCCCGACCCCAGCCACCCTTCTCACTTGTTTTCCCCTTTTTTTTTACCTCTCCTTCTCCATCTTTCTCTCTGTGTCTCTCCACTCATCTGTCTTCACAGCGGATTTTGCATTGAAGTAATGAGTGCGCTAACAGTGCTTGTTGCATCAAATGTGGGCATCCCAATAAGCTCCACCCACTGCAAGGTATCGGAGTCATTGGTAGTGAAGCTCCACCTCATCGCTTCACCTGTAGCTGGCAATCGCCACAGCCAATCACAACTCCTGCAGTTGACGTTTTGACCTCTTGTGCAGTTTTCCTCCAGCGGCCAAATCTCCCACGTGTCCTCTTAAAGGAAGATTTGTAATTTTAAAGAAAAACAATAAGGAAATAACATGCAAGCTAATGGGATATACTGTATATCTAAGCTATTGAGATATGTTTAAAAAAAGTAGAGAGTCCTGAAACGCTTTATCTGAAACAGAAATGTTCCTGTTAATTTTTTGTTTATGAAATGAATCCCCTCATATTTGTCCGATGTTTCTTTAAATAGATCAAACTTGACTTTGTGTCCCTGTAACGTTAGAAAATTTGTTTTAAGAAATATTTGGGAAAAATATAAAACTATTCCTATAATTCTACAGCCTCCAATTTAACACACTGGTAGCTTGTATTGGGCCGATGGCGGGCAGAGTTAAATTTAAAAGATTTAAGTTATATTAGCTGTATGAGAGAAAATATTAAAACATAATTCTTACAAAACTATATTTAGATCAGTACGTCTGCTAATGGGAAACTGCACAAGACTCAAAACCGGTATTTAATTACTGACGATCAATTCATCTAAACATCAACATCGCCATCCATACCTTATTTTATTCCTCACCACCTCCCATAAAACCTCGGATAATCACCTGCTCTGCCCAAATGCTAAATCTACTGATGGTTAGAGGTGTCCTGTGTAGACGTGTTGGTGATTTGATCAAGTTAATGATTGTGGAGGACGCACAGACGTTGTTGGAACAAAAATGAATCCGAATATTTATAGATGTTACTCAACTTGAAATTGTTGAGTGATGCTGAAGTTTTCAGTAAGAATCCAACAACATCTGTGAACGACTCCCAGATGGCTGTGAGAGCGTGTGTGTGTGCGTGTGTGTGTGTGCGTGCGTGTGTGTGTGTGTGTGTGTGAGAAGCTGCGGGCATCCATTTAGTTTCGTCTCAGTTCAGTCAGTGCACATTGACCTTTTTTCTTTATGGATTTTTTTTTCTTGTAACTTCTGTGGAGGTTAAACTGAATTGATGCCTGGGCCTGACGTGCGGGGCGCTGTGGTGTGATCGTGCACAGTGACTCATTGTTTCATTGCTCTGCAGGCGCTCGGCAGCACAAACACCGAGTTTGGGATTTGTTGCTGCAAAGCTGAAATACTACGAATGGTTGTAAACAAACATCATGGCCACGAAATCTCAACTTTCCCACACAAAGTCTGCTTTCAGAATAATGTTGATTTGTCCAAACGAATGAGAAATTATGGACGTAAATTTCAGCCAATTTGGAAAAAATCTCCTCCTGTATTTGTCTGATCTTTAGTAAAACTGGTTTAACCACTGCAAACATGACCGCTGCGTGTCGACCTGACCTCCCACATGTAGCTGTGAGTGTGACAGGAGGCGCATCGTGTTTCTGTGGCCGTATAAGAGCAGACAAACAGTTTGATTCCCGCCCACCTGCGACGTCAACAGAGCTGAAACTAGTTACTGCACATTCCGCTCGGCTCCAGCACAATGAAGAGTGAAATGTGTGTCTGAAAATCTCCAGAATTCATTCTCATTCAGTGGTGTTTTGATTTGTATAAAGGTGAGTGAATAATGCATTAGTGGAAGTCTGAAACTTGCAGATATATTTGAATTATTAAATAGAAATCGCAAGATTAGTTTTTTTTTGACTTGCAGCCTAATGAAGAGGAGAATATTTGACTTGTGTTAAATCTGCCACTCTCAGACTTTCACTCACACAAATTAAATATAGGTAACTATTATAATCTGCTTGCTCTAACTAACACAGACATTTTGAACTGAGCTGAAGGCTGCGTACAGGATTTTCTGTTCAGATGCTAAATTCGTGTGTTATCACCGTTTCGTTCAACTATAATCAGCCGTGGAATGTACTTTGTACTGCAGCTATGTTACTATCAAGTACTGCACTTAAATATTTCCTCTCTTTTAGTCGTTTAGTGTCGTTTAGTTGCCATCGTGACAAACTCTTTCACTAAACTTGAACCTGGATCCTTTTTAAGGACGTTCCCTGTCGTTTTTAGGAGACAGAAACATACAAACCTCTAAAACATCTTCTAAACACAAAATGACCAGTTGCTCTTGAAAATGCTCCATCATAAGGAAAACCTGGACAAACCTTCAGCTCTTCAGTGTCTTTACCATTTAAACATTTCTGCTTCTGATTGTTTTTCTCTCCTCCCCTCCGGCTGCGGCCTCCAGGTGGGATCGGTCGTGGCCGTGGGTTGGATCCGCTCCAAGAAGGCGGTGGACTGGCGCCTCTTCAGGAACATCTTCCTGGCCTGGTTCGTCACGGTGCCGGTGGCCGGCCTGTTCAGCGCCGCCGTCATGGCCCTGTTTGTCTACGGCATCCTGCCCTACGTCTGAGGGTGCACGGCCGGGAGGGATAACACAGGAGGAAAGAGAGAATCAGAGAGAGAGAGGGAGACTAAAAATCATAGCTGGAGTGTCAGGGGTACAGAGAAAGGAGGAAGGAAGCGAAGAGAACGAAAGGGCGAGGGTGACGGCGAGGAGAAGGAAGAGAGAGAGAGGGAGGGCGCTGCAGAGGTTTACACATGGACTTGGTTGTACTGTGGATGTGAGGAGGGTTGGTTCACCTGCTTCCTGGCTCCAGAGTCCAAAGATCTTTGCGACTCATTTGAGTTTCTGATCGGTTTTTATTTATTCTCTTTTTGGGGGCGCATAAGAAAGTGTGTAACCATTCAATCTGCTGTACATACGATTTCCAGTAACTTTTAACAGGAAGTATAACAGGAACTATAGTTACTGGGGAAACAGTGTCACTCTCTGTCTCTTTCTTTAAAAAAAAAACCTGCACACGACTTAAATTGATCAAAACCAGCTAATTCTGCAGAAGTAAACTGACAAACATGCCTGCAGCGAAACTATATCCCTCTGCCTGCGATCACAGGTAGCTTAGGCAGTCAAGTGCTTATTATTCCAAAATGCCAGGAAAAAAAAATCTGTACATATTGTTGTTATTGGATGGAGTGTGATTTATTGTATTGCAGCTTGCTTTAAAATTCAGAAAAAAAAAAAAGAAATGAAAAGATGTGCGTGGTCAACCAACCCATCCGTCATCTCACTGTTAACACGCTCGCCAGGTACAACTGGGGCCAAACGGAAAGGACGCCTCAGAGAGGGGTGGTGGGACTGTCGCTCTGCTTTCTTATTTTCCACGATACCATAGAAACCTGATTTGCTAAAGAGTTGATTTTTTTTTTTGTCAAAAGCTCCTGTATGTTTTTAGAGATGGATCTCGTATTTTTTAATGATGTATTATACTGTAATTTGTACTGTAAATACTGTCCTTAAGAGTTTTGGGGCGGAATTGGGGATCATGGTTTGTATTTAATGTCGTAGGGTGGGGTTTGGGGGCTTTTCACCTCTTCATGATGTCATATTCTAGAGTATGTTTCATCCCAGACACGCACAGTAGAGTACACACACATACACACACACACACTCATGAACGCACACACTTGACAGGCTGCTGTTTTTCCGTGGTCGGTGGAAGTATGTTTCCTGAATGGAAAACGGTATTTAAATTCAAAGGAATCAATTGAATCCATCCTCGAAGTGGAGAGATGCCGTTGTGTTGGATTTTATCTCATCAGTGAATTCATCAGTATTGCCAGAAAGTTCTTTAAAGAACTTGATTGTTTAGTTGGGTTTCAGATGGCGATGTTTGAGGGAGGTTGCTCTGCTACAGCAGCACCATGCCAAAGTACGCTGCGTTGTCGCCAATTTAAAGTAGATTAATTTAAAGATTTAAGTGCAGCAGAAGCCAAAATATTATATTACAAATGAGGCAAATATCAACTGAAATGTTCACATATCTGCATCTGTTTGCCTTTATTTTCATATACATAAATATCTGGAGTCATTTCCTCACATTGACGGCTCCCTGCCAAGATCTGTCCGCCGTATACGTTTCCCTCAACCTCAAGTCTCGTCCCCCTCGAATCTGAGGTGCGTCCGTCAAGATGCCTCCAGAAGTTAAAGCCTTGTCGTTTCATATCAAACACTTAAAAAAAAAAAAAAAAGGCAAACTGTTGTTTTATGTCTCAGCCAGGATTCAACCCCAGCCGCACTTGTAGCTGGAGCTGTGTTTTGAAGCGTGGACGTGTTCAGCATATTGATCACCTGCTTTTCAATCCAAGTGCTAAAGGTTAGCGAGACATTGTAGGGACAAGCTGAGGGCTGGACAGAAAAAAAAAAACAAAACGCTGGTGTCACGAAAACATCACATGACTTTTTTTTTGTCTGAGGATCATGATGTTTGAATAAGATGGTGGGGGTGGGGGGGGGGAGGGGTAGTACTGATCATCACCAGCTTTTTAACGAGGTCATCTGACCTGCAGACGAACAAAGTCTAAAGCGTTTTTTATTTGAACAAACTCGATGCCAGGTGTTGCAAGTTCTTTTTGTTCTTGTGGTGTGTTTCCTAATTTCATTTTAGTTTTGTTTTTTTTTTCTCTCTCATGAACAAATCTATGCTTAAGTAACCACTTGCCTTGTAACATTGTGTTTAACTGTGTGCAGATACGGTAAAAATAATTAAGTACTGTGGTGTTTACATCGTAACCATATTGTAGAGTATCTGAAGAAGAAAAAAAAAACTGTTGCCTAATGATGCCAATGAAAGACAAACTAATAACCATGAATTTTTAAGTGCAAGTAAAAAACTAAATAACCTGAAGTGTCTAGAGAGCAAAGAGCAAGTGTGCACACGATGACCTGTTTTTCGTTCTTTGTTGTAGTGCTAATCATGATCCCTGTCACTTTACACTGCTACTACAATGTGTTAACACTACATGTATGGGTGCAATTCAGTAACGAAGAGAATTACTAGAGAAATTTCATCAAGACTATATATTTTTCTACCATATCTGAGTTTTAACCTGAGCGAGCTTCCAGACACTTTGGAGGACACACTGTGGGGTCGATGGGAAAACTGCTGAACAGGGACTAGTTCACAGCGACGATGAGAAACGGTCTTATTACAGGGTGTCTCACCTTGCCGGTGCCATGCCACACACTCCCTCCGAGCCCGGTGTGTTCTTGTAACATGTAGATTGATGTGTCGGTTGCCGGTAGATCAGATTTTTAAATTACCATTTTTATTTTTGAATTTTAGATGAAAACACTTTGTAATTTTGTTTCCCTATACCGCTTCGATCACGAGCTGCGAGAGCAGGACAGCACCTTGATAAAACCGGGGCGACTGCTCGCTGGAGGCGAAATCTATAGAATCAGAATCTTTGTAGCTGAGAAATCTGAAAAACGTGATGAAGGAAAACTGGACTGTGAGAACATTTGTTTCCTTGTTTTGGCAGATTATGACTTTTGAAGCTCCTTTTATTATTACAGGCCGTGTGTTACAGAGGGGACTGGACGGAGCGGGTGTGTCCACATTCGAGCGTTTCATGATGCACGAATACGTAGTAAATATGCGAGAGCTCACAGTATCAGAAGCATGAAAAGAAAATCACCAGGTTACTGTGCTAAATCTATAATTTCTGCAAAATTGACTAGAATTATCCTCCACATGTGACCGGTCCCAGCAGACCAGAGCCAAAACTCATGAACTGAGCACAAGTTTTTATTGTGCAAGGACTTTTAATCTGTAAAATGGAGATTGTGTCATTTGTTATGGATTTATGGATTTATTTGATGATTAAATTTCAAATGTAAACTTAAATGTCCGCTGATTTGATTCAAAACAGGTCATCCAGACATGACGACAGTTAATGATCAGTACATTTACATAAATGCTTATTTTCTCATTTTTCTTGTAGAAAGCTGAAATCCTATATGACCCGTCAGGTTAGCTTCCGCTCCGCTTGCTTTACGCCACACAGATACGACTAGCCAACAGCTCCCATGAGTCTTAGCAGTTAGTGAATAGAAACCTTATTTTGAAATGAAAACCCTGGTAAATATCATTCAATGTTTTAGAAAACAACATTAATCAACCAGCACGTTACCGATGATCTGGTTTGTGCATCATCACTACGCTCCGCGGGTCGTCTCTGTAACACCATCATCTTTTGTTCGTCCATGCATTCTCAGTCCTGATAGGCCAAAAGGGATGCACTGCTCAAGATGGGGAGGGAAAGTGAATATCGCCCTCTGGTGGCAGCGTCAAGTGTTGTTGACAGAAATGATCAAAATTGGTTTAGAATTTAATTTGAATCAGATGTTCATGTGTCACCTTCTCCATCTCCTCCTCCCAGAGACACAGACGTAAATAAACAACACGTTTGCTTTACCTGAAAATTGTTTGTCCACGAAGATGTTTTCAAGACATTTAAATGCATGAGATCTTTCGATGCTAATTATTTAAATGAACTAAAATAGTATTTCATCCACAAAAACCAAAAGTTAATTTAACTCTGAATTTGAATTTTAAAACAACTGGTTTGACATGTACGCAGCCACTAGGTGGCGTAGTCTGACACTTTCCCTCCCCGTAGCGAGGGACAGCATTTTAGACCAGTTTCAACCGATCAGTACAAATCAAGGAGTGGTGTGGTGTGATTGCCATTGAGGGAGTTTCTGTGCTTCTTCTGCATTTATAACTGTTTTTGTCAAATTTCCCTGTGGAGAAAAACTAGAGAAACAGAATGTGCCATTTTCTTTCTCCCTGAATGTGCAATACAAGATGTTTCTCGTGAAGGTGCAACGACATTGCTGTCACTCTGTGGTCATGTAGCTCCACCTGCCCCGGTGTAATAGCGCCCTCTACCTGTCAGTGTGGAACTAGCACCACCTGATGGAGTTGGAGGGCCGTCAGCTCAGACCTTCATCTGGATGTGGCTGTCTCTTAGTTTTCTGGTCTGTTGTGTAATAGAATGTGCTCCTTGGCTGGCCTGCAGGCTTTACAGCTCCGTGTTGTCTTTTTACTGTTTACTGCTGTTTAACTGTCCGATCCTTCAACAGAACAAGAAAAATAATGATAATAGATGAATAAAAAAATCTAAAGAAACTGTAGCCTGCTTCTTCAAAATCTTAAAGCTCTTCTGATTTGCATATATCGTACTGTAATGTTTTATTTAAGATTTTAGTGAGAAAAAATGTCTGCATTTAAACTAAATTATGGGAATTAAAATTACAAAGAAAACTTAAAGTCCACCGAGTTGTGTCTTGCTTTTGTCGACATGTTTGGGTTATTTTTTAAGTTTGAATTATCACAAACTCAAGATGATGTCACATGACACCAGACGAGTCTGAGACCACTTCACATTCACGTGATTATAAAGTGATCTCAGATTCTCACACTGTATGTGTCATGTTCACATAAGAGATAATAAAATAAATAATTAGAGACTCGCACTTAAAATGTTCCCAGTTACATTTTGGTTTGTTTCTTTTAATTTTCTATCCAAAATTGACTTTTCTTTTGAATCTCTGAGATATTTTTGATTTATGAAACCTCACAATAGTTACTTTCTATTATTAAAATAATTTTTAGTCTTATTGATCTTTCTTCCACTCCTCTTGGTTCTACAGTGTTGGGGACAGGTAAAGTATATTTAATACAGAAAAACAGTATTAAGACTGTTGGGTGTGTTTTTGTGAATACAATTTGAATTAAATAATGGATATGAAGTCAAAGCACCAATTCTGAGCTGTGGTTTGAGTAGGTTCACATCAATATAATAGATATATATTGATAAGATAATTGCTTAATATTACTGAACTGCAGATTTTTCATATCAGAGCGCACAAGCTGACAACAGCAATTAAGTGCAGTTTAGATATGAAAATATTAAATCTTTAGAGATATCTGTGTATGTTCTCGGTTGTGTAAAGATAAAATGTGACAACAGATTTTTTATTAAAACCTGATATCAAACTTAGTGTTCACCTCCAAAATCCTTAATCAGTCAGGCTGTACTCTCAAGTTTAGTTTCATTTCTTATCCTTTTCTTCATGATACAGTTAAATACTGTGGCCCTGTGACTTATTTTAATAAGAATCTAATCACTATATAAGCATTATCTGTTTTTAGTTTGCTGTTCTACTACCAGCCTCATTCTTGAAGTATATAGATATGTGCAGTGATGTATACTTGGTTTTGTAACTGCTTTGCTGTGATTTGTGATCCTGCCCTGAAACATCTCGTGTCGTGGTTGTGTCTCTGCTCGTTTCCTCCTGCTTTGCATGTATTTGGTTTCCCATGGCAACCGAGCTCTTTAAAGACTGAAAGAATCTGTCAGATCTTTTCAGGCAGTTGTTATTTAGGGTTTTCAGCCGAGATAATAATTCAGTGACTTGGCTCAGATTGAACTCTAAGTTCCCAGAGCTGAGGCCGTCTGAGCCGAGTGTAATATAAAGAGTCTACACTAACGCTGAGAGATGTTGGTTTGATGCTGACATGTGACGAGTGACACCATTTACACTCACAGGGATAAATGGTTTCCTTCTCATGATGGTTGCTGCAGTGTTTCAAGAGGGAAACTTTGTGATTCTGTTGATCTGGGATTCTTCATTTGAGGTTCTTGTGTTATTCTTATGAAAGTCCTCCAGCTGGGAGCGTGTGTGTTCTGCACATTATGAAAAGTCTGATCATGGATGAGGCCTGACTTCCACCTCGTCCACCACTTTATTGGACTTCAGCTTCTCTTTAGTAGATTATGAGCATGAAACAATGAGTCGAGTATTTGACTGATTGTCATTTTTCATGCAAAATGATTTGTTCTGTTCTGAATTTTACAGGGAGCCAGTGCTGTACATAGATTCACTGTATGAATCATCTTGCTTCCTTAAAGTGGTCAACACTAGAAAAACTATAAATACAGACAATTCCACATCTTTAAGACATTAATGAAGTTAAACTAAGTGATTATATTCATCAGGCTTCTGTACAGTTTGGTGTCATCAGCGTAACAATTTTACCCTCTGCTCTGAATGCCGACATGCGTCAGGAGCCGACAAGACTAACGTGAGATTGAAGTCGACCTGTAAGATAAGCGTTTATTTTTTTTACCATATGTCGTACATGCTCACTAGGAAGTTAGCAACGGAGAGAGAGAGACAA